CTCTGGGCTAATAAGATACAAGCCAGAGAGCAAAGCCACGAGGCTTGGGAAGCTGGCCTTTCCCCAGCCTGAAGGTGGTTTCGTTTGATCACATTTCTTTGCAGATAAAAAAATATATATACATTTAATTGAATTATTTGTAAATAGTTTTGTATTGCTGAGTGAATATTACTTGTATAATAGGTTTTTGCCTTAAAAATAAAGAGTAGAGTTTGGGCAGGCGCATGATGACTCGATGACTATTCAGTTATGACTGTTAATGATGACATTTTCAAGATATTACAGTTATCATGACTACATTATATTTAAAAACTTGTTAGATTATTTAATATCTATATTTCTGAACAAATTCCACTCAGAAAGGTCTATTGTCACTTTTTTTTAACATAGTAAAAACATTCTACTTGAAATTAAGAAATAGGATTCAACTAGAAATCAGGAAATGATGCAACGGTAAAACAGGACACTGTGTGAGGCAATTCCACATGAAAAGGCTCATAGTTCAAGTCCAGAGACCACTTGTCCATGGTCCAGGGTTGGCCAAAGGCTGGGAATGGATTGAGGTCAGGACAGAGTCCTGACACTCTGTCTCTGTCTCATTCATGGAAGGACTAAATAAACGATAAATAAATAAGAGAACAAATATCAAAGGAAAAAAAAATAGAGCTCAACTAAATTTTAAAAATAGTTTCCCTTAGTTGTATCTTTGTGAATCTACAAGACGTGATCAACTAAGCAGTTACTATAAAAAGATGTGGCTGGAATACATTTTCTGGAAGAAAAGAGGTCCTTGCTTACAGACAGCTGGAGTGATGAGGTTAGGGAGAAGCCGTCATTCCAAGGGCTGTCTCTATGCAGCCACAAGAAGAGCTGTGCTGTGTGAGATCTTCAGCGAGAGAAACTGCTGGGAAGTAAACTGGGCAAACACTAACCTACTTATTTGTCTGATTCTGTTTCAGAAACTCCGTAGCAAAGCTACAGAGAAGACCAAGGGGAGTGAGCTAGTCCAACAAAGAATCCCTTTATCTCTGAAACTTTCTGATCAATAAGGCATTGAGCCAAACAGTAGGGAGACTGAAATCTACAAAACTAGATCATACAACAAAGGAGGTAGAGGATGTGGGTTCCTGGAAGACACAGTCGGGATATTTCTGTATCAGCTGCAGCACTTAGCATTTTATCTACTGTCATACATTTGCATAATAGGCCCTCACTAATTATTTGTTGAATAGAAATATGTAATAGACTTAGTCTTTGTGTTAAATCTCTTCAGAGGTATTGCAGTGTGGGTTTGCAGTGTTACAGATTCAGAAACAGGAACAGGAGAGGGATTTCCCTGTTCACATATCAGGAGAGGGATGGATTAGGAGTCAGAAGATGAGCACGGAAGCAAGAAAACCAGAATATGCTCAGGGGCCAGCAGGTAGTGTGGTGGTCAAGGTGCTGGACTCCCACATGGCCAACCATGGTTCGAGTCCCTGACCTGGCAGCTTGCCTTCTCACTCTCCCTCTCTCTCTCTGTGTGTCTCTCTCTCTGGTCAAATTGAAGAATAATAATAAATAAAATTAAATTAAATAATTTTAAAAAAAAGGAACAGCCCAGGCGAATTGCAGGATTAGACATGTGCAGAAGAATGGGAGAATGTGCCAACTGATTTATTGTGTTATTCAAATTAAAGATGCCAATCATTCCTTCTATCTTCGCATGAGTCCAAGTTCTATGGAGATGCTGCAGAGGGGCATAGTAACTGCCAGAGGTGCATCTGCAACCAGGTCCCCAGACTGCCTGCTTGCTCTTTCCTCCTGACCTTATTTAAATAATGATATGCACTGCTTGCAGCTAAAATACATTCTCTCAGCAATATTACAACGAATTTTCAAATGTCATTGACATTTTATTCAATGCTTGGGTGGTGGGGAAATAGAATAATTTCCCTATGTCACATAAGTGCATCACAGTAAGAGTCATTGCAGGCTGGCCCAGCCGTGG